CAGAGTTTTCTTCCTTTTTAATAAATAGGTATTTAATAATTATCTGATACACCAGACAGAGTTTTCTTCCTTTTTAATAAATAGGTATTTAATATTTAATTAATACACCAGACAGAGTTTTCTTCCTTTTTAATAAATAGGTATTTGATATTTAACTGATACACCAGACAGAGTTTTATTCCTTTTTAATAAATAGGTAATTAATATTTAACTGATACACCAGATATAGTTTTATTCCTTTTCAATAAATAGGTATTTAATATTTAACTGATACACCAGACAGTTTCTTCCTTTTCAATAAATTAGTATTTAATATTTAACTGATAGACCAAAAAGAGTTTTCTTCCTTTTTAATAAATAGGTATTTAATATTTAATTAATACACCAGACAGAGTTTTCTTCCTTTTTAATAAATAGGTATTTAATATTTAACTGATACACCAGACAGTTTCTTCCTTTTCAATAAATTAGTATTTAATATTTAACTGATAGACCAAAAAGAGTTTTCTTCCTTTTTAATAAATAGGTATTTAATATTTAATTAATACACCAGACAGAGTTTTCTTCCTTTTTAATAAATAGGTATTTGATATTTAACTGATACACCAGACAGTTTCTTCCCTTTCAATAAATTTGTATTTAATATTTAACTGATAGACCAAAAAAGAGTTTTCTTCCTTTTTAATAAATAGGTATTTAATATTTAATTAATACACCAGACAGAGTTTCTTCCTTTTTAATAAATAGGTATTTAATTAATACACCAGACAGTTTCTTCCTTTTTAATAAATAGGTATTTAATAATTATCTGATACACGAGACAAAGTGTTCTTCCTTTTCAATAAATAGGTATTTAATATTTAACTGATACACCAGACATAGTTTTATTCCTTTTCAATAAATTAGTATTTAATATTTAACTGATACACCAGACATAGTTTTCTTCCTTTTTAATAAATTAGTATTTAATATTTAACTGATACACCAGACAGACTCATTTCTAGTCAAACATTTTTTTTTTTATGTAAGAAACAACTAGTTATTTTTAGAGTTGCTTTCATATTTGCTGCTAGTTTGTGTTACTATAGCTTTTTAACAGAACTGCAATACTTAACATTGGTTGGTTGAAGAGTATCTTTAGAGAGCCCATAGGGCTTAGTTGTTATTGTGAAATTTGACAACCCTGCTCCAGCATCTGTTGAATCTTGTATTTAATCCTATCAGTCTTTGGTTTTAGAGTGGATATTTCTTAAGAAACTTTATAAAAATAAGGTTTTTTAAAAAAAAAGAATGAAAGTTATTAAGCAAGGACTGGTAATATAGGTTTAACAGAATATTTTATGAGATCATGAACAGGTATAAACAAATTGACTCAGTACTTACCCCGCTACTGCTGCATATGTTGCTACAGGTTGAGCTGCTGCAGCTGCTGCCGCATAGCTTCGAGCTGCAGCAGCTGTGTAAGCTGCAGTAGCTGCATAGGTGGCCTAAACAGATGAATAAACAATGTTTTTCATAAGACCATAATGATGAGCAAGTTAATCATCATGAAAAAAAAACTATATATGAAAAATGTATCAGAAACTTTTGTTTTATTTGGCTTCATTTCAGGAGTGAATGCACTAACATCATATGTAACCTATGTAATCACCTAAGTATAATTACTAATTAGTTTATATCTATGATTTCATTAGTAAAAAAAAGTAACTGATTAAGAATTAGGCTTAACTAAGTCGTTGTATAAGATAGTCACCATACATACATTCATTTATGCATATATAAATGTAGGTATGTAACCAAAACTCCTGCACCATCTATTGAATAGCACTACAAAAACAAATCCATAAAAAATGTCACACTTTGGGTTTTCAAGATTCAGGCAATTTGAAAAATAACTATGGTATGTGCAACAAGCATTTCTTTATAACAGAACATATTTTAAATATAATCACACTCTTCACAACAAGAACATGACTATCACTAGGACTATATGTGAGGGTTTCATTACATATCTTTATTGATATCATTTTTAAATGTAGTACTGACAAAGTGGAGTTGTTAAAAAAAAACTATTATTTTTCAATAAACGGTACCACTTTAAATATATAAAACATTACAGTTTATGTCAGTAAAATTTATGAACATTTTGAGGTCTGTACATTGAATCATTTTGATGCAATGAGTTTCATATGACTAAAGAACACAATCCAAACACTTTTAGTGTACAGTACGTCCCAGAAAAAAATCCTCTTTTAGAAATGTTAATTTTTTATGACTTTTTTCAATGAGGTATGAATACTACTGATACGACAGCGGAGGGCACGTGACGCTGTAACACGTCACGCACTTCTAGAACGTTCATGAAACGTCGGGAGACTACTAGATATGGGGTAGTCTTGTATATATAAAACGGTCACAACGTGACGGGAACAATGTGTAATTGAACTGCGGACAGAGTATTGTTGAGTTGAGCATGTGAGACGTTCGTTGTGAGTTATAGCGTTTGTTATAGTGCGACAGTTGAAATTAAGTGTATCGCAAAGTTGTATTCAGAAAGAATAAATCAGTTTTATTTAAGAAAGGACTTGTATCGGTAAAGTTTCTTCGGAAATAATTTTTACGGAAAATTAACTAACGAACGGAGGCGTAACACTACGTTTAGACAAACAGCCACCTGTAAGGTGCCATTTCTGATAGTATATATAAACACTGTTTTATTTGATATTGTGCATACTACTAAAATGTTTATGATATAAAAACTAAAAGAATTTCAAGTTATACCTGTCTGAAGGAAGAGCTACATAAGAACTATTGAAAAAATAAACTTATTTTACACTTCTAAACTTCTCATACTTAAAAGTTAAACATATGTTAGTACAGTGACTTAAGAACTAAAGATCAAACAAGCTATTTCGTATTCATACTTAGCATTCTACTGTAATTCCATTCATACATTATGTATTACAGACTTGTTTACTTTCCACCTTTGGCTTTTTGAGGAGAACGTATGCTGTAACATAATGCCCTTAATCTGACAAAAGTTCTATATCTCTATTACAAATATTTTATATTGAAGGATTTATTAATTCTTTTATTTCAAATAACGTTGCTTCTTTAGAACAATGTTAATATATGTTGTCTTTAGATTCCTTTTTGATTTGTCACAATAAGAGTATTTTTCAATTTCAAGTGTCAGAAAAAAAAACACCATAAGATTATACAAAAGTTTAAAATCATTATAAACATTCATATACATGTATAAGTTAATTTTTTTAACCTGTGGAAGTTTTAATAAATATTTGTTGGTTTTTAAATCCTGGTATTACCTTTATGATAATAATTTATGCAATATAACAGACTGGTTACAAAGTTAGCGTAATAAACTTAGAATATCCATTTAAAAACATTAGAAAAAAAACACAGAAATTTGTAAACATACATTAATAAATTATAGTGAAGAAATTCAAAAGTAATCTAGTAACTTTACGACAGATGCAGAAGAAGGTGTGTAAAGTAAATTGGTAACTGTAAAACAGATACAGATAAGGTTGTGTAAGAGTAAACTGGTTACCAGACAACTGATACAGATAAGGTGTGTAAAGTAAATTGGTAACTGTAAAACAGATACAGATAAAGTTGTGTAAGAGTAAACTGGTTAACAGACAAGTGATACAGATAAGGTTGTGTAAGAGTAAACTGATACCTGTACAACTGATACAGATAAGGTTGTGTAAGAGTAAACTGATACCTGTACAACTGATACAGATATGGTTGTGTAAGAGTAAACTGGTAACTGTACAACTGATACAGATAAGGTTGTATAAGAGTAAACTGGTAACTGTACAACTGATACAGATAAGGTTGTGTAAGAGTAAACTGATACCTGTACAACTGATACAGATACGGTTGTGTAAGAGTAAACTGATACCTGTACAACTGATACAGATACGATTGTGTAAGAGTAAACTGGTTACCAGACAACTGATACAGATACAGTTGTGTAAGAGTAAACTGGTAACTGTAAATCAGATACAGATAAGGTGTGTAAAGTAAATTGGTAACTGTAAATCAGATACAGATAAGGTTATGTATGAGTAAACTGGTTACCATACAACTGATACAGATACAGTTGTGGAAGAATAAACTGATATCTGTATGACTGATACAGATAAGATTGTGTAAGAGTAAACTGGTAACTGTTCAACTGATACAGATAAGGTTGTGTAAAAGTACACTGGTAACTGTACAATTGATACAGATAAGGTTGTGTAAGAGTACACAGGTAACTGTACAATTGATACAGATAAGGTTGTGTAAGAGTACACAGGTAACTGTACAATTGATACAGATAAGGTTGTGTAAGAGTACACAGGTAACTGTACAATTAATACGGGTAAGGTTGTGTAAGAGTAAACTGGTAACTGTACAATTAATACAGATCGGGTTGTGTAAGAGTACACAGGTAACTGTACAATTAATACAGATCGGGTTGTGTAAGAGTAAACTGATAACCGTACAACTGATACAGATAGTTAGGATAGGAATTTACAAAAAATTATTTAGTAGATAAGGAATAAAAAAAAAGAAACAGTTTGTGCTGATGAAACTCTTTATATCACAGTAAATATCAATGTTTATTTTAAATTAAAGTCATGAAACCAAAAGCTGAAGACATGTTTTAAAGGTTGGTTTGAGATTTCTTATTACATATTGATGAGTAATATAATTGATACTTGAAATCATCAGTACTTGGTGAAACTCCATAACTACAAAATTGGGGAAAAACAAGATAATTGTAAAATTCTCCAAATACATCATTTATTACGACCATGGTTTTGCCAGTAAAGGCATCATCAGGCACAGACTGAAATGTTTTATATCAGGGTTTATATATATGTTTAAACAAAGAACTGGAAGTGACCTTGAGATTCATCTAGAAACAAGTGGGTAAGAAGTTGGTTTGGTCGTTTGGAACTTTTTCTGGAATTGTTTTTAGACTTCTATTTATTTCTAAAATGTAAAAAAACTAAACAGTCTGGAAACTTTAGAAATAAATACCCCACTTCTCTCTAGGTGAATGTCAAAGTCACTTTCAGTTCTTTGTTTAGACATATATATATATATATATAAAAACCCTGCTATAAAACATTTCTGTCTGTACCTGATGATGCCTTTACTGGCAAAACCATGGTCGTAATAAATGATGTATTTGTGAAATGTTACAATTTTCTTCTTTTCATCAACTCTGTGATAACTAATACATCTCTAAAGTTGAGTAAATGTACTTACTGGTAACTGATACCTCCCTGAAGCTGAGTTAATTTACTTACTGGTAACTGATATCTCTCTAAAGCTGAGTCAATGTACTTACTGGTAACCAATACATCCCTGAAGCTGAGTCAATGTACTTACTGGTAACTGATACCTCCCCTAAAGCTGAGTTAATGTACTTACTGGTAATTGATACATCTCTGAAGCTGAGTTAATGTACTTACTGGTAACTGATACATCTCTGATGCTGAGTTAATGTACTTACTGGTAACTGATACATCTCTGAAGCTGAGTTAATGTACTTACTAGTAACTGATACATTTCTGATGCTGAGTTAATGTACTTACTGGTAACTGATACATCTCTGAAGCTGAGTTAATGTACTTACTGGTAATTGATATATCTCTGATGCTGAGTTAATGTACTTACTGGTAACTGATACCTCTCTGCTCCTGCATAAGCTAGAAAAGGGTCTTGGTAAATACCTGCTGGAGTAATAAGTCTAAAATAAAGGAAGAAAAACAAGTGAAGCTATATGATAATAATAGAAATCTCTCATAGTGTATACACTATTAGTACAAAATAGAAAATACTGATAATAATTTGTACAATCATTTATCATACATTGAAACACAGTACACAAATAAGTAACATTCTATTTATATTCACCCCTTAATAACAGTTAAAATAAATTCCATAAAAGTTTAATATTACTCAAAATAATACACACAGACAGTGTGCAGACCCAGTTTTCTTCGGAAGATTAGGCAGGCAACTGCCTATGTACAGAACCAACGTTTTTGGGTAGATTAGGTAGGCAACTGCCTATGTGCAGACCCAGTTTACCTTGGAAGATTAGGCAGGCAACTGCCTATGTACAGAACCAACGTTTCTGGGTAGATTAGGCAGGCATCTGCCTATGTACAGAACCAGCATTTCTGAGTAGATTAGGTAGGCAACTGCCTATGTACAGAACCAGCATTTCTGGGTAGATTAGGTTGGCAACTGCCTATCTACAAAACCAGCATTTCTGGGTAGATTAGGTAGGCAACTGCCTATGTGCAGCACAATTACTAATTCACATTCACATATCTTTTGCATGTTCATTATGATCTTGAAACTAATGACAAGATAGTAAAATATAACTAGTGAACTGAACAAAGTGGACTATAGGGAATTATCTCGTGACTTTGTAGCCAACAAAAAATAAGAAACTTAAGTTTGAGGTGAGATTACAGAGAGCAAGCATTTACTAAAACTTGTATGTACATATTGTGCTCAATGTGATTGTGGTGAAAGGATATTTACTAGGAGAAATTTTAATTTACCTAAACTTGGTGCTAACAATGTAATCAGCAAACAAAGTAATTCAATCTAGTGAAAATATCATTTCCAATTCATTGTCTTTGAATGAAAAAAACGAGTGTTTTTTAAAGATGTAAAGGAAACTTGTCAAGTGACTTTGAAACATTTAAAGAGTAACTCATGTATTACATTTACTGGTACAGAAATACATAAGGATGGATGTTAGAGAAATATACTGACGAAGTATATCCATGCAGAGCAGCAGCTGCTGTAAGTGGTGATGGATGTCTGGCAAAAATTCCTCGTGCTCGGCCTCTCTGAATTGCTACTCCACGCAGAGCAGCAACTGTAACAGTGAAAGAGAACAAAAACAGTGTTATGGAAAATTCAACTCCAGTCTCTATGAAATAAAAATATTTCCTTAAATTGATCAGTATTCCTTATATAACAGTAATTATTCATCCATCCATACATTATAGAAGAGCAAAAATAGTAGGTGTATCGGCAAATAACAGAAGAATAGGAACACATAATTAGACTTGCCATGGCTAAACTATCAAAGTTTAAATAAAAACACGTTCTTGATGTTTCAAGAAGACACTTCATTCTAGTTATTTATAAGAAAATGTGACTACTGAAGTTATTACAATAAATTAATAATTTTTAAATAAAGTTAGAGAAAAGTTTTTGTTTTTTTATAAAAAGGAATATTTTCTGGCTTCTTCAATGCAAAATTTATGATAATAATAATAATTATTTTATAATTTCTAGCATGAATGCTTTTCTAAATAAAATATCACTAGAATAAGGGACTTTTTGTGTGCGGAATTTTTAAGCATAGCTACTCAAGAGCTATATGTGCTTAATTTTCAAGTGACAGACTAGAGAGAAGGCAGCTAGCTATCACTACTAACTGCAAAATGTTTGGTTACTCTTTAGTAACAAGTAGTGGGATTGACCATCACACTGTAACACCCCCATGGTTAAAAGGTCAACATGTTCAGCAATGGGTTTCAATCACCATGACTCATAGATAATTACTGAGCAATCAGGCCCAGTTTTTAAGAAGAGTCACTCAGTGAGTTTCCTAAGCTCTGCTTTAATTACATATACGCGTATATGGAAAGAAGAGTTTTCAGCACAGCAATACGATAAAAAATGCAGAGAGAGAGAGAGAGAGAATGCTCACTACTAAGGAAACCAGAGTTATATGAAAATTTTAGAGTAGCTTCTATTTGTAAATAAAGAAGGAAACCTACTTAACAAGTTACTTATTATACAAACAGTACATGGGCATTAGACTGAATACTTACCATTTGGTATGGTTGGTGTTTTCTTTGTTTGAGTTCTAGCTGTTGCATTGTTTACCTGATGCAACATAAACAGCAGATTTAGTATGATGAAAAATTAAACACATTAACAGGGCTTTATTTTCATATTAATAATGAATATACTATATTGTTCTAATCATATTTGTGTTACTTAAAATCAACAAGCATTTTTCACCAAAAAAGAAACCTGTCAAAAATTGCTTGGTATTCAAAAATTAACAGAATGTTAATGGATTGTCATTGCTTCCAAATTGTTTATTAAATTAATAGTGAGAAAAATTGTTAAACACTACTTATCTTTACTAATATATTCATTTCAAGATTTTATTTTATTCTTCCAACCGAGGAAACTAATTTAAATATATATGTTAATGCCAAAACTACATTCAGAATAACACAGCAAATTAGATTTGAATAGATATTAAAACTATATATATATATATATATATAAAGATATCAGGTATTACATTTCAGTGACTAACTAATAGATGTATATTGTATGTCACTGGATTGTACTTAAAACAACTTAAGTTATGAGATAAAAATGTCACAAACTTTACAAACATTAACTAACAACTTGAAAAGTTTCATATAAAGAAATATATAACTTCTCTGTATTTGTTTCCCACAAAATATATCTACAATAATTATTAAAAAAGGCTTAAATGCTTTCAACCTTTTATTCAGATAAACATTCCCCAAAGCAGGATTAATATTATATTAGTCTATGTTCTTATAGTATTTAACCAGCCTCCTTTCACCATCTAATGAGAAGTGCACATTTCTAATTTGTATTTAATTCTATCAAAAAGATTGAGAAAAAGTCAAAGCAAAAGGAGTAAGGTTCACCCAAACAACAACAAAATAAGAACTGCTATGTATCAGACAACCAGATTGATGGTTATGAAAGCAGAATGTCAATCACTTGAAAGTTTATTCAGTTAGTTTGTAGTTGGAAATGGTTCCAAAAGAAAACAAATTACTTAACCCTAGTTTTAAATACTTTCTATGATGTTTAGCAAGTATGGTTTTTCAGGGTTTTGGTGTAGTCAGCTTCAAAACAGTGTGTGTGACATCATGCACAGCAAGGAAGAGAAATATTGTATTAACAAACTCATACTTATATAACAAAAGCATCTACAAGTGGCTAAAATTAACATTAACAACTATTTAAAATAAAACAAATGAGAAGAATATTATACATCAGTAAAAAATTAATAATATATTACACTCCCTCACACAAAGTTGAAACTGATCAACATAAAAAACATCAGTAAAATTAACTTATCATTCATATTTATTTTAATCTAATATTACAATGTGGTCTAGACGAAACAAACTGATGTTCTTTCAGGTCTTGACTCGGCTGGTAGTTGTCTCACCTTCATCAGACTGATCTGGAAGTGGGACATAATTTGTAGTTTCTGAGTAGTTATGAGTCATGTGATAAGCTACAGGATCAAATGGCTTAGCAACCTTCAAAAATATCAAAGTAGCCTATACCCTCTTCAAAACTGTCATCATCATGAGACTGTGGAGGTCTACATCCACGCCTGCATGCTGCAGTTGATAAGTATATCTATGAAATATCTTCTTATTGATGAGAACAAGAGTGCACGTTCCAAGCTGGGAAGGAATAATTCCTCTAGTCTATTTCTTTGCTTGTTTAAAATCATGCATCCACACAACATCTCTAACAACAAAAATTCTTTCTCTTCGATGATTATTACATCTTGCTGAATATGTTGCTTATCTCCAAGATATTGCTTCAAAGAAAGCTTCATTAAATCCAATCTTTTCTGTACTGCAAGACAATACAACAATTCTGCTAGACTGACTCCTGTAGTACTTATGAGGCACTACTCTGAAGAACCCAGAAAGTGATTTATTACTTTATCAGTACTTATTCCTTGCCTCTTATGTGTTTTAAAAATACTCTTAAATGTGCCAACTAAGTTTTCTGCTACCTCATTTGTAGTTGGTTATCCTGATGGTGTGCATAAAATTCTCAGATGTAAACTGTCGTCCATTGTTAGTAACCAAATATGGTAATCCATGACTTATAAATAAGACCTGAAAAATCTTGATTGTATTTGGAGACATCACTGAAGACATTCTAACTACTTCTGACCATTTAGAATAAGCATCAGTAATTAGCAAAAACGTTTCACTAGCAACTGGTCCAGCAAAAGATGCAAGAATTCTCCGTCTAGGCTTGTGAGGCCATTCCCATGATGTAATGGTGCACAGGTGCTCCAGCTTAATCTGTTGACAGGGGAAACAGCTTCTTACTGTTGCTTCAATTTCTGAATCTAATCCTGGCCACCAAACATGTTATCTTGTAAGCAGTTTCATTCTACTCATACCAACATGTCCAGGTTGAAGCTCACCTAAAATCCATTTATGTAAAACAATGACTCAGTTTCCCCACAGTCAAATCAGACTTTATTTGGACTTCAACTCCTTATATGATTCTGATGTCCATCTCTCTCTGGTCAATTTTAAAACTACTGAAAAAATTACATCCTTACAGATAAATTCTTCCATCTTAACTGATGTAACAGGTAAATTACTAAAGAGCAGAGTGTAATAAAATTCTACTTTTCCTCTTCATTTCCTTTCACTTGCAATGGCAGTGTTGATAACATGTCTGGAATTGTGTTTTCCACACATTTTCTATACTGAACCTCATATGAATAACCAGACAAAAACAAGGCATATTGTACCATTTGCAATGAAACTGTACTTAGCAGCTTAGCTGTAAGTTTAAATAGGTAAATTAAAGGCCTATGATCAGTCCAAATTGTAAAACATTACCAATAGAGATGGAACTTCTTGACCATTGCTAGAATACATAATGAATCTCTGTTGTTAACAATGTGTGACCAATGCACCTGGTCTCCTATTACCATCCTTGTAGAGAGGGTCAGGATTCCTAGTTCAGCAACAGAGCCATGAAGATGTCTATCTCTATGCTCTGCATTCAAGAGGGTAGTCTTCCTTTGGAAAGACTACCCACGCATTCCATATCGACGGTTTCACTCGTTATCATCAAAGGGATTCGAAAGGACTTCTCCCTCAACCGAATTATTATTTTCCTGAAGAAACAAGAGCCCAGTGCCACCAATGATCCTATGAAGACAAGACTCTTATGAAGGGGTGGAATTTTTATTTAACCCCTCACTCCTGAAGACTTCACCTATCTCTGTTACCCATCAAACACAAACCTTCCCATTATTTCTAAACCTCCAAGAGCTAATAGACAACTGTTTTCTATTTTTCTTAGGGCGTTGACCAGTCCATCTCACCAGATGAAATACATACCAGTTTGTGGAACCTACCTAACTACTCAATTCATGCTGTACACTGCATCAACTCAAGAACCATAGGCTTACCAGCTCAGTACATTAAAATTGTTACCACATCCAAATCCACTGCAGAGCACTTATTAACTAACGGTTTCTCTTATTTCTTTTTCCATTTTAGAGCTGAAAGACTAAGATGACGCCCTACTTCTACAACATATTCCAACAGGACTCTAACACCTCCAGCACAAGTTAGTGGACTGCAACCAATTCCTGAAATCCTACCACCTACACTCAGGACACATCAATCTCAAAGAAGCTACAAAGCAACATAGGCACCACAGACGCATCCAGACAACACCAGTGAAGAAGCAAACTCTCAAGTCACCTGATCTTATAGAGAAGTCTATACAGACTCCACCAATCATGAAGTTTTCACTGGAGACTCAAGCAATGCAGACACAAGATCACACCCCACAATATCCAATACCTCATCCACTTGCAGTTTTCAAGCATCCAATCGAGACACTCAAACCCATACTGCTAAGAAGGACAAACGAATTCAGACTGAAGAACGACCCCTAATGACTTCTGCCATTTTCTCAGATCATCCAGGCAGCCAGATATACCCTTCACCCAGCACATAGCTCCTAAGTTTGACCCCATGTCCATCTTGAGATCTAATCTTTCCAGCAACACAGAACATGTAGACTGACGAAGATTACAACCAACCATAGACACCCTAAACCCGCAGCTTTAAGGATCTATTCTGCAAGCCAAGCTACGAGTGCCACAACACACTAAAGACATTGACAACCCTGACCCTGTCGACAACTACAACCACAATTTCTGAGCCTTATATCAAATTTTCACCCATCAAGTTTATTTAAATATTGTTTTATAATCCACAAGGCTTTAATAACAATTTTTTCTCCCCTTTTAGATTTTTTGGGCATTATCAGAGCAATTTTATTTGGCGCCCTGGCTGTGAAAGTGGGTTTCCTCAGGGCACTCCTGCCCCCCCCCCCCACAACAAAATTTTACCTTGAACCTTGGATCCTCTGATCACAGCTATGAAGAGGGACTGTTCCACATAAAATTATTGCTAGACTCTAGCCAATACCTAACAAGGTAATTCTTTCGAATATTAAATACAGAAAATGTTGTGCAAAAACAATTTCACATATTTCTTAGAACTTGTGTTTTCATCACAGTTCTGTTCTACTTCAACAATCTCATTACATTTCAATACTCCAAACCTTCCACTTCTTCATAGCAACTTCCTGTTCTCAGCTTGAGAAATTCACGTCTTTCCAAGATGCCTTGAGGCGATTCAATTCATTCATTAGCCACGCTTACTTCACACTCTAGTTTAGTTAACCACTCAACAATAACTCTTAAACCCCACTAGTAAATCTGAACCAAGTTACTTAAAATCTAATGTACTAGCTCAATAACCCCCTTTCATTCACAAAAAGAACCAACCATAATTCTGTGAGTGGGGTGAAGAGAAACAACAGTTTCTGAGCATCCCTGATTATCTTACAGGCCTCAGAGAGGCCTGAAAATTTTTAAATCTAAATAACTGTCAAGATGATGATGATCATACCATCCTTGTAAACATGAGCTAACTGTACCTCAATTCCATAATTAGAGACATAAGAAGGGATAAACTTGGATCATAGTGTACCAAAACTGGTGCAGTACACAAGAACATCTTTGCTTGTTTGAA